TTTTTGGTACCAGGGATCAAACTCGGGTCCTTGCGCTTGCGAGGCAGGCGGCGGAACCACTGAGCTAAATCCCTGGCCCCATGAAGTTTTCCTTCTGTACAAGCATGCGTGCAAGTTGCACTCCGAATTCTCTTTTAACTGTGCCATAAATATTAACACAATAACCCCCCCACACAAATTAAAAGAATTGTTAGTTTATCATGCATTCATTCTGAAAGCAGAAATGATGATTTTTTTTTTAAAAGAAAATCTTCAGCATAATTTAATAAACCCCTTTTCTATTCTCTTTCTTGTTAACTATCCAATATGCACCACTGCCCAGTCAGTTCACGTCTTTGTGGTTTCCCTGAATCATCTCCCCGCTCTGGCTCATCCTCTGAACATACTCCCTACTCATTAGATTCCTGCTGTTGCACGCCTCAGGCTGTCCTGGGACCAGAGAGCTGTGCCATGTGCTCCACTCTGCCTTTTCTGCTTTCCAAGCCCAAAGACAGAGCCCAGCAAATTCAAAAGGTGGTGATATGTGTTATGGTTTAGATTTAAAATGTCTCCCCAGTCTTCAAGTCTTCTGTGTTCAGAGGTGGGGTTTTGCAAGATCACTGGATCATGGGGGTGCGACACTTAGTGGTGGATTAATCCACTAATGAGTTCACAGCTGAACGTGCTCGTAGGAGGTGGCGCCTACCTGGAAGATGGGTCACCAGGGGGTGCGACCTGGGTTATTTTTGTCCCCACTTCCTCCATTCCCTCACTCTCTCCACTTCCTGGCTGCCATGGATGAGCAGATTTCCTCTGCCATGCCATTTCTGCCTTGGAGCCAACCAACCATGGACCAAACTCTCTAAAACCATGAGCCAAAATAAACCTCTCCTCCTTTAAGTTGCAGGTGTCATCAGGTATTTTGTATCAGCAATGGGAAAATCACTAATAGAGTTCTTTGTAAAAAATTCTTCAGGGTTCTTTTAACATTCTCACAACAAACTATATATATATAACAAACAATGCTTTGCATGCCAACAGAAATAACAGAGAGGGTTTACAAAGCAAATCTCCAACAGCAGTTTACTGCACAGGTTTTAAAGTGTTAGAATCCTGCAATCTCTCTTTTCCTTTCTATGAGCAGTTCTTGGCCTGTACATGTGCTGATTTTGCCTCCTTTAGTCGAATAAGTGATTATATTTCCTTCCTGTCAGGAGGTTAGGAGATTATATTTCCAGAGAAAGTGTAAGTCAGGCTTTTGCTTTCTTAATATGATTTTTGCTCTTTCATTGGTTACTACAGATGCTGGCACAGCAACCAAACTCTGTCCTCAGGTACATGACCATGCACCCTTCTCCTAGGGCACATCCTAACCTGTCCCCAAGCCATGACCATCTTCTACTCCCAATGTCCCATTGCATGTCAACTGGCTTTCCTCATAAATGCCGGCGCCACTACTTTTCAGGGGCAATGAAAACAGCTCTTGGCTTTCTGTTTACTGGATTTCTTCACTAATGACTTTTGAAATTTTTAAAATCTTTGAGCACTTTCACTCACCTGGCTTTGCTGTTTTTCCATTCTTTGCACCACATATCACATGCTTTTAAGATAAACAGGTACTTGGACAGTGTCATAAACATCAAATTAATCTTGCATACACTTTCGTTTTTTGGTACCGGGGATTGAACTTGGGACCTTGCGCTTGCAAGGTAGGCGCCAGAACCACTGAGCTAAATCCCCAGCCCCTCTTGCATACACTTTTGAATACTAAAAACTTTTATCTACTCACCGCAATTATGGAGGCAAACAATTCCTTCGTATTCCTATGCTCAATACAGTATTACTCGAGCAAGCTCTGTATTCTGGTACTCAATTTCATTTTGCACAATGCTGCACTAGAGCTGTCAAAGTGTATGCTGTTCCTGCCCTGCTTCCCATCTCATTAGGTCATGCACCCACTGTTGCTTCTTTCTTACAAATAAATGACAGAGCGTGGTAGATAAATACTGCTTTACCACAGTGGGTGCTCCAGACCGCCTTCTGATGAACAGCACATACCTATGGGGCAGATGGCTAGGGTGCAGGTGAGGACAGATAGCTGCGGCTAGTAGTCATTTCCACAGGGAACGAATTCACTGTCTCAGTCTCGTTAGCACCGCTCATAAATTAACTGAGCTCCTTCCCAACCCTCCTTCTGCCCATGTCCTCTTAAAAAGCCAATCTTTCTAAGCAAATGCATTAAAATAAAAAAGCAAAAAAAAGAAAAAGAAAACAAAAATACCCTGCTCTGCCTTAGCACCATCTCTCCTATCTTCTTTATTCACTCTAATCCAGCTTCTGCATTTCCGGAAGCAAAAGAATACATTCCTTCAGAGGGCCTTACGGTCAGCGACCAACAGCGGCCTTCATGGGGGTGCAACTGGCAGATTATGAGGTCACGTCATCAGGACATCTGGGTCCGTACTCAGCTCTGCCAAATGACTCATCATATGACAAGGGCACGTCACAGGTTTTCTGGGCTCTGGCTTCCCAATTGTAAGAAAATGAAACAAAAAGAAATAGGGCCAGAACAGCCCTTCCCGTCCGTCAGAGTGGGAATGGAGAGACCGCACCGGGCTCTGTGCTCCTGAGAGACGCAGGCTACGGGGAGGGTGGTGGTGAGCTCCGCGGGGTGGGGACCCATCACACTCACCTGTTCAGCCCGCCTCCACCACCCAGCAGTTGTCCCAACTGGGCCCAGGGCCCCTCTGTCAGAGCTGGAAGGCAAATCCAGGAGGCACAGCTGGAGCTTGGCTCCAAAGTTCTTTTTCCTCTTTGTCCAACTGCTTGGCAGCAGACAGAGGGAAAATGAGCTTTCATGGCTCCTCTTACGTCTCTGGCCGGTGTGAAGGACCAAAAGCAGGAAACCACAGCCAGAGTAAGCCAGAGTCACATTCTCTTTGGCTTCTGTCTCAAGCCCTGTTTGGGAGCAGGAAAGCACTAGCTCCAAAGACTTTTCTCAGGGTCTGCAAATTGTAATTTCCCAGGAAGGCCGATGACCATACCCTGTGGGACTGAGGTAACAGGAGTTTTCCTGAGCGGTTGAGGGCTGGGGGGCGGTTGGCAGCCTGGTTGGGAACAAACACCTTCTGCAGGATGTAGGAGCTGTCTATTCTAAAATAGTGATAAGCAAGTGACTTTTGGAGAGGACCAACAGCGTGCAGATAATGCACACCTCATTCTTTTAGTGGTGAAGTTAGACGGATACAATGCAAAGTTCCTGCTCTCAGGTCTAACACTAACCGACAAGTGCGTGAGGGGAACTTCTGAGAAAGACGAAGTCAGGGCTTGAGAACAGACCCAGATTTTCCACTGATCTCTTGCAATGAAACAGAACCTCCAATCTCATTTTCACTAGGGTTCTACTGCCCAGGAGAGGTTCCTGTCATCATCGAAGTACATACCCAGATAAAGAGAGAACACAACACGCTCACACACGCAGGGAGGCAGGCAGGCACATGCACGCACACATGCACGCGCACACACACCAGGGTCGAAGGACAGACTGAGGAAGGGAAGTGGCAGGGGCTCCCACCAGGGCAGAGAATTACAATCAAAGCATCAACTCACAGACTCTGAGGAGATTTTCTTCAAAAGCTCAGCCCCTGGGGTTCCAACGAGTCTTAAAATGAGCTTCAACTGATCAATATCTAATGGTGGACTATAAAGGAAAATGTTGGGACAAAATAAAAATGAAAAACAAACAATAACAAACAAAAGGAAACAAAAAACAAGGAAAATATCCCAAGAACGTAAATTAAAAACCCAAACCAAGCCAGCAGGGTCCCTCATCTAGGCCAGGGTTTCTGCAGGGCGGTCACTTCGGCGGGACGCGCTCCCCTGCACACGGTTCCGAGCATCGCCAGGCGTCCACCCGGGGGCGTTCTGTGCCCGTCAGCATCACACACCAGGGCAGTGAAGCAACGTCGGCCAGGTCTTAGCTGACAGGCGGTGGACGAAAACACAGAGGCTGGCTCGGTCCACAGCTTGGGCTACACTTACCCCTCACCGCCCACCAAAGCGCAGGAGCGAGTCAAGAAGGGAGCACTGGAAAGCACAGGGCTACAGAGGAGAAGAAAGCGGCAGGGCAC